TCTGGCTTTTAGAAGACAGGAGTGCCTGGCTTCCTGTGGTCCATGGGGTCACAAAGAGTCGGACACGACTAAACAACAAAGTGGTTTTTAATGAGTTTTAATTAGCTTTAACTCTTCTTCAAGAGATTCATGAAGTGGCTAGTGAGGTTAAGATACATGTGCTTTTTATGTTTTCTGGTTCTGTTTGGCTTTTACAAGCCATGGATATTTGTTCTTAATGAGTCAATGACTGAATCACAAACAGAGTGTTGCGAGTACAATTCCTACCTTTATTCCTTACTCAAGAACTGTTTTCTGTGACCCAATATGTAATTGTACATTATGAATGTGATTGTAGGTGTGACTCCATACTTTATGTTTGATTACAAATGGCCACAACTTCCCAGAAGCAGCCTCCCCAAGTCTTCTCTCTTTTTCACAATGCTTGGTTTGTTCATACAGATGGCACACCCATATAAGTCTCTTTAAACCTCCACATAAAGGGACGTGTCTCCATAGTGGTGGAAATTAGCCTACGAAAACGTAGAGCACCAGACAAGACTTTTGCTGCTCTCAGAGAGAGGTGACCAAAGTCAAGGCAATCTAGGCTTACCAGGAGTGTAAGTAAAAGTTTTTGTTCATAGAATCATAAAATGTAGAGTTGGAAGGGGCCCTACGGGTTGTCTAGTCATTGCCCCTGCAATGTCAACAAATGATTCTTGCTTAGTTTTGCAAATGTGCTAATAGTTGTGTTATTTGTCAGTTACTGTGCATGGGTCAACAAAGAGAGAGAAATGCTGTCTTGTCTGAATGTGTGTGTAAAAACCAGTTGTATGAAAATCTTAGCCTGTTTCTACATTGTCAACTTAAAACACAGCTAGGATGTTTGCTACTTGCGGAGATGAAATTAAGCACTTACAGTTTTTCAGCTATTATAACACTGAGAAGCAGAAATTTAATTCCTCCCTGTAACACAGCTATTATTGGAATCAAAACAGCTGTGGTTTAAAGCCCACATACCCTTATCAATCTAAGATACAATCTAAGTCAAATCCCAGTGGAAGTGAAAAAATCACAGTGGAAGTGAGGAACAGGTTTAAGGATTTAGATTTGGCGGACAGAGTGCCTGAAGAACTATGGATGGAGGCTTATAACATTATACAGGAGGCAGCAACTAAAACCATCTCAATGAAAAGGAAATGCAAGAAAGCAAAGTGGCTGTCCAATGAGGCCTTACAAATAGCGGGGGAGAGAAGGCAAGCAAAATGTGAGGGAGATAGTGAAAGATACAGCAAATTGAATGCAGATTTCCAAAAAATAGCAAGGAGAGACAAGAAGGCCTTCTTAAATGAGCAATGCAAAGAAATAGAGGAAAACAATAGAATGGGAAAAACCAGAGATCTGTTCAAGAAAATTGGAGATATGAAAGGAACATTTCGTACAAAGATTACCATAATAAAAGACAAAAGTGGAAAGGACCTAACAGAAGCAGAAGACATCAAGAAGAGGTGGCAAGAATACACAGAGGAACTGTACCAGAAAGAAATGGATGTCTCGTATACCCCAGGTAGTGTGGTTGCTGACCTTGAGCCAGACATCCTGGAGAGTGAAGTCAAATGGGCCTTCGAAAGCACAGCTAATAACAAGGCCAGTGGAAGTGATGATATTCCAGCTGAACTATTTAAAATTTTAAAAGATGATGCTGTTAAGGTGCTACACTCAATATGCCAGCAAATTTGGAAAACTCAGTGGTGGCCAGAGGATTGGAGAAGATCAGTCTACATCCCAATCCCAAAGAAGGGCAGTGCCAAAGAATGCTCCAACTACCGCACAATTGCACTCATTTCACACGCTAGCAAGGTTATGCTTAAAATTCTACAAGGCAGGCTTAAGCAGTATGTGGAACAAGAACTACCAAAAGTGCAAGCTGGATTGGGAAGGGGCAGAGGAACAGGAGACCAAATTGCAAACATGCACTGGATTATGGAGAAATCTAGAGAGCTCCAGAAAGACATCTACTTCTGCTTCATTGACTATGCAAAAGCCTTTGACTGTGTCGGCCACAGCAAACTATGGCAAGTTCTTAAAGAAATGGGAATGCCTGATCACCTCATCTGTCTCCTGAGAAATCTCTATGTGGGACAAGAAGCTACAGTTAGAACTGGATATGGAACAACTGATTGGTTCAAAATTGGGAAAGGAGTACGGCAAGGCTGTATGTTGTCTCCCTACTTGTGAAAAGGATCTAGGAGTCTTGGTTGACCACAAACTTGACATGAGCCAACAGTGTGACGCGGCAGCTAAAAAGCCAATGCAATTCTGGGCTGCATCAATAGGAGTATAGCATCTAGATCAAGGGAAGTAATAGTGCCACTGTATTCTGCTCTGGTCAGACCTCACCTGGTGTACTGTGTCCAGTTCTGGACCCCACAGTTCAAGAAGGACACTGACAAACTGGAACGTGTCCAGAGGAGGGCAACCAAAATGGTCAAAGGCCTGGAAACGATGCCTTATGAGGAACGGCTAAGGGAGCTGGGCATGTTTAGCCTGGAGAAGAGGAGGTTAAGGGGTGATATGATAGCCATGTTCAAATATATAAAAGGATGTCACATAGAGGAGGGAGAAAGGTTGTTTTCTGCTGCTCCAGAGAAGCGGACACGGAGAAATGGATCCAAACTACAAGAAAGAAGATTCCACCTAAACATTAGGAAGAACTTCCTGACAGTAAGAGCTGTTCGACAGTGGAATTTGCTGCCAAGGAGTGTGGTGGAGTCTCCTTCTTTGGAGGTCTTTAAGCAGAGGCTTGACAACCATATGTCAGGAGTGCTCTGATCGTGTTTCCTGCTTGGCAGGGGGTTAGACTCGATGGCCCTTGTGGTCTCTTCCAACTCTATGATTCTATGATTCTATGATTCTACTTATTTAACTTATATGCAGAATTCATCATGCGAAAGGCTGGACTGGATGAATCCTAAGCCGGAATTAAGATCGCCGGAAGAAATATCAACAACCTCAGATATGCAGATGACACAACCTTGATGGCAGAAAATGAGGAGGAATTAAAGAACCTTTTAATGAGGTTGAAAGAGGAGAGCGCAAAATATGGTCTGAAGCTCAACATCAAAAAAACGAAGATCATGGCCACTGGGCCCATCACCTCCTGGCAAATAGGAGAGGAAGAAATGGAGGCAGTGAGAGATTTTACTTTCTTGGGCTCCATGATCACTGCAGATGGTGACAGCAGCCATGAAATTAAATGACGCCTGCTCCTTGGGAGAAAGGCGATGGCAAACCTAGACAGCATCATAAAAGCAGAGACATCACCTTGCCAACAAAGGTTAAAGCCATGGTTTTCCCAGTAGTGATGTATGGAAGTGAGAGCTGGACCATAAAGAAGGCTGATCACCAAAGAATTGATGCTTTTGAATTATGGTGCTGGATGAGGCTCTTGAGAGTCCCATGGACTGCAAGAAGATCAAACCTACCCATTCTGAAGGAAATCAGCCCTGAGTGCTCACTGGAAGGACAGATTGTGAAGCTGAGGCTCCAATACTTTGGCCACCTCATGAGAAGAGAAGACTCCCTGGAAAAGACCCTGTTGAGGGCACAAGAAGAAGGGGACAACAGAGAACGAGATGGTTGGACAGTGTTCTGGAAGCTACAATCATGAGTGTGACCAAACTGCGGGAGGCAGTCGAAGACAAGAGTGCCTGGCGCGCTCTGGTCCAGGGGGGTCACGAAGAGTCAGACACGACTAAATGACTAAACAACAACACCCTTATCAATTTTGTCTCTTTTTCCATACTTTTTTGTTGAAAGATGTAGTGGAGATAGAGTAAAATAAAAATTCAACTATGTAAAGGTCTGTTTTCAGATGATTTAGTAATTTGTAGACAAAAATAAAATGGTTGTATATTGTGGCATGGTCCCCAATAACCCAACCAGAAAGAAGTTCTAGAGGCAGTGAAAACAGGGTTTGGCCATCGGCATCTGTTCTTATCCGGCAGCAGTGCTGTTTTCCATTTCACATCCCCAGAAAGAGGCACTTTGCAGTGAATTCCAAAATGCTGCCACCCATCAGCTCACTATTTTTCCCACCCTCCCTCTTGTTCGGTGTTGTGTTCGGTCCACATAATTTAAGTCGAGTGGATAGCCACAGTACAAGAAACAACTGTGTAGCAGAGATCACTTTTACTTTGGGGGCACAAAGACACACACTGTCTCTGCTACAAGTAGTCTTCACTCTCTGAGCCCAGAGAGCGTTTCGACGTATAAAGTTTTTGCTGAGGAAAAGTGCACACAGCAAGTGCAAAGTCCACTTGCTCCAAAAAGTCCTGCAACTGCCAGAGTTCCCTCTGTGTAGACGTCTTGCAATGTGTCTAACTTCCTTCAGATAAGCTCTTCACAAATCTGACACATTTTCCCCAGATCATTCCAACAGTATCCATGTCTCCAATGCCCCACAACAGTGAATGCTGAAACTTGAGTTCTTTATCTATCCTGGGATATGTGTTAGTTTGCCCAGCAACACAAAGAAGACAGTCACAAGATGCATGCAGCTGCACTTTTAGGAGGCGGGGAACCATTTCTGCTGACTCAAAGAGAAGTGACCCTTTCTTACTTTCCTTAATATTTCAGCAGTGGGCTGAAACCAGCTTGCTTTACAAGAAATAAATGGAGTCATACACTTGTCATTTTGTATCTACTTGTATCTACTTGGCAAGTTACAGTGGGGAAAACTAGGAAAATATTAAACAGCAGGAGAATTCATGTAATCATGAACGCTTCTGGAATGGCAGTTCAAACTAATATACTGCATTTTCTTTTTTCTAGGTAAACAGTGGGGAAAATACCATCAAAACCAAAGAAGGTTTAACTGGATTTGTTTCCTTCCTCGGCATACACGCGGGGCTTCATATCAGGAAACCATGAGCTGCTTTATTCAAATGCTGGGAAACTGGATTAGTTTTCCTTCCTTAGAAGAATACCTGAACTTAGTGGCTCACTCTTGGTGGTTGCGTATGCTTCTGATTTTGCCTTGTTCAATCGTTATAATGACGTATTTGTTTATCTGTGCAATCTCATTTTTGCTATATGTCTACAAGAAGAGGAATAACCAGCAAGAAACTGATTTTGATACCAAAGTTTGGAAAAAGCCAAAGCAAATTACGTATAAAGTTTTAGATATATTTGGAAAGATATGGCATGGTGAGTAAATGTTTCTTTCATACCAATAATTCAGCTACTATACTTTCATAGGACTGAGCATCAGAATTTCAGACTTGAGGCCCTGGAACAATAGTTACCACTATGGTTTTAACCGTGTGGTGGGTACACAGCGAATTTAATGAATATATCATTGTGTAGTGAGACTTTGAGGGTGCAATTTTCTTCAGCATGGTAAATCACTAGGTAACCCTGAAGCATAAACTCTGGACACAAACCATGGAATTTGTCAGCAAAGGATGTGGTGATGTGGTGATGGCTGCTAATTTGGATGGACACTGTGAGAAACAGGATGATGGAAAACAGAGAGCTTTGGCTTGATCAAGAGGATCCATCTTATGTTCCCATTGCATCCCAGAGTGTAATGTTGCTTTAGATGTTGAAGCATGAATCAGAAACACATTACTAAAACCAAGCTTGGGTCATAAGGATGAAACCCTGTGGCTACTTAGCACATGATCAAGGGTGCATCTGTCTGGGAAACTGTTTTCTCACATTGTATAAAGTGATTCAGAGAATGCCCTGAAGATGCCTGAAATTAGAGCTCTTGAGGATGGGGAAAGAATGTGCAACACTCTGTACGGAAGGGTAATACTGTTACTTCAAATAAAAAAGGCTCAGGAAAATATAGTGTTATAACCCATATGAAAGTCAGGGGCATCTTAACCATTGGCGCTAGGGGTGCACGGCACCCGGGCGCCGGGCTCTCAGGGGTGCCAGGCTGAGAGTCCAGGGCCGAGCGTTGGAGTCCAGGGAAGAGCTGCCGACAGCCGAGCGGAGCAGAGCCCGTCAGAGTTCGTCTTCTGCAGGCGGCTCTTCCCCGGACTCCAACGCTCGCTCCCAAACTCGCACCAACCTGCCCGCAGCAGAAGAGCCTGTCGGCTCTTGCCCCAGCTGCATGGCAGCTAACTGTTTCAGTGCCATGCCCGGAGCACCATGTAACGTTGTGGGCGCTGCACGATGCATCCTGTTGCATGTGCCGAGCTGTGGGTTCCTTTGCTGGTTTTCTGCTGTCGGCGCACGCTCCCAGCAGCGCCCAATGAGATGTGCCAGCGCAGAACGACGGGGAATGCAAGTGGCAGCAGAGGAAACATCTCTGGACGGGATCCGCCACATACCAACAGCGCCAACGGCAGCAAGAAGTCCTGACGAATAGGAGCGCATGGATTCCAGCCGAAACAGTTAGCCGCCATGTAGCGAGGTGTGTGGAGGCAGCGGGTGGACAGCACGGAAACTGTGTCGCCCAACATTTTGTCCCCCCCTAGCATGGAACCGGCACCCACCTTCGTACGCCCCTGTGCGTTGGGCGCTGGAACCCCCATTAGTTGGCGTTCTGAGTCACTGTGTCTTCCACCATTCTAAAGGTAAACAACTATCTCCCCAAAAAAGGCAACAACTTTGGGGTCCCCCCTTAAAAAAAGGTCGACAACTCTGGGGAGCCTAGAAGCGCCGGGCATATGCTTAAGACGGCCCTGATGAAAGTTTAAAGGAGAATGAAACAGCAAATCACAGTTTTAGCTCACTCAAAGACTAGGCAAATTTTTTTCCACCTGTGCCCAAAATTAAGCAAGGAACGAAGATTCCAGCAGAGGAGAAATATCATTTATTATGTGAGCACAACAGAGAAAGTCCTGGTCCGTGTGGATGACAACCTAGTATCCAGAATGCTGCAACATATAGGAGAGCTTTTTACTTGATCTTAAATTACAGTTTTCTGAACCACAGTGTTTTCTTCCAATAAAAGATTGCAATATTCCATTTATTTTTCAACAAAATAACATTTATTTATTGCATTTTATATTATTTCCAGGTTATGAAGTTTTTGGCATGGAACATCTCCCTAAAGGACCAGTGCTTATTATCTGTTATCACCCAGTTTGTACTATTGACTATTTCTTCCTTGTCGCTAGACTTTTCAGGGAGACAGGGAGAGAGTGCTTTACAATAATTGATCATGCCATATATCGGTTTCCAGGTAAGTTATTAAATTTAACTCATGCTTTTTTACATAAAATATGTGAAATATGATATAAAATAAAGCTATAAGATATAAAACAATGCTATAAAATATAAAACAGTGTATCAGGCAAGCAGGTGAAAAACAACACATGAAATAAGTTGGAAACTGCAGGCTTGCTTTTAGCCATTTACAACCTCAACCTCTTCTCCCAATAATGTTTCAGGCATCATATTTGAATCAGGCTGTTTCCAATACAGCATGTCAACCTGGGTCTATGGCCCATGATCACAGATTGCAGGAAAACCTGACCTGACCTCAAAACAGCTATGAGAGTGCTTCTTCTTCTTCTTCTTTTACGCTAGTAATTGCAAGACAATTCCTTTGCTTTCATGCAGAAATTTCATGCTTTCTTGTACAACTTGTCTACATTCTTCCTCAGGGATCTAAGAACTGAAGGAATCTGGATAATGTGACATCTGATTTCTATGCTGTAACTGAAGGCTCTCATATAATAATTGCTGCTGACTTTAATACTAGAATAGGACAAGGTTTAGGAAAATGCGTCTCTGAGTTTATGATTTCCTCAAGTACAAAGAGTTTTGCAAAATTCAGTCATTAGTAAAGATGGCTATTCATTACTGGAAAGAACAATGCAAAGTATGGGATTCTGCTTGGGAGCATCTGCACTAGCAAACCACCTGTGCAAAATCCTCTGTGGCAGCTGGGACAGGGTGGGAGCAAAAGCTAAGGAAAAGGGCAGAAGCCCAAGTGAAGCCCCAAAGACATGTCCGTGGCTTTCATAGCAAGTCCAACCAATCACCAAATCTGCACACAGATCCCAGAAAACATGGCCCCACCCAAACACATGGCCAATCAAGCACTCCCACACACAGCTTTTATGCCCCCATGTGACTGCAATCAAACACATGTGGCACCCTTGTTGTAGTGTTCATGGCCCTCCACTGCCACTCCCCCCACATCATCTTCCTCTGATGACACCACAGAAAGCTCATGGAAGGAAGGAAGGAGGGAAGGAAGGAAGGAAGGAAGGAAGGAAGGAAGGAAGGAAGGAAGGTGCGAGCCCAAAGTGTGCTCTTTGGGGGTATTCCACTGGTTCATTAATGCAGCATATATTCTCCACCCATATATCTGTAGATGAATCTCTGCTGTTTTGCACCAGCATAGCCTCCTCTGGGCCATGTGTGTATTTCTCTCTCTGTGTGTATGTACTATATTAAAAGCTCTGCAGCATAAAGGGATTGAAGTTTTGGGTGGTGCAGCAAGCACTATGGACTGTATTTTTATCATAATGCAAACTTGAATGTACTACAAACTTGACTTGAGGAACCCATTTCCAACAAGGTGGCCACCTCAGCACTCAACCCCACTCAATGTGCTTTCCAAAAAAAGCCTACTGTTAGAACATCTGAGAAAAAGAGGAATTAGCATAAAGTCCCCCTCCATGAAATCCTAATTGAAATGGATTGGCAGAGAGCTATGCTTGTGATCCATAATAGTGCAATATCTTTGGAACAATGACACTTGTATTGTAGCCACACTCTTCTTCTATTTGGGTCTTATTTTGTCAGGGTGGAAGACGGCTTTAGATGCGGCCGGGTTGAAAGATTTCAATAAAGCTGAATCTGTGGAAATTTTGAAGAAAGGCCATTCACTGGGCATTTCCCCTGGCGGAGGTAGAGAAGGAAACTTCAGTCCTGACTACAACATAATGTGGGGTAACCGCACAGGTTTCGCTCGGATAGCTTTGGAGGCAAAAGTGGTGAGTGATCTTTGTGCAATTTGCATTGCCTTCAGGATTATCCTAGATAAGACGTAATCTGTTGATATCCTTGATCTAGCATCCTAAGTAGTTGAGGATGGCAAATCCCCTGTTTGGGAGTCAAATGATATCTGTATTTCCCACCACTGCTTTTTTTTTGTTTTAAAGCTATTAAAATCAATTACATTTAAAAAGAAAAATAGCTTTTTTCCTCTTCAATTCTTGAAAATCTGGGGGACAGCATGTTCAATTTGAAGTCAATTACATCAGGCTTGTCATTGCAATACCAGATGGGGAGCATTATTCCTAGTCCTTAACCAAAATAAAGGTGGAGCGGGTGGGGTGAAGTAATTCTCCAGTTCTCAGCTACCTTTTGATTTTGATTTTTGATTTTATTCTTTTAGCCCATCATCCCTATATTTACACAAAACATTTGTGAAGCATACAGGAACATTGGAAAGTCAAGTGAGTACTTTGGTTGATCAAGAAATCTGCTTTCAGGCAATAAACATTTTACAATAATATACATTTTTTTAGAAACAAAATATCTTTTTACTACTTTCTAGTAGAGTTTATTCAGTGTACACTGATCTGCAAAAGTTGTGCTGCCTGTCTCAGGACTGAGTGAACATGTCCTTGCTTAGTTTTTTATTAGATTTAAAAGATAGCTATAATCTATAAAAGTGGTAGGAACCCCAGCATGGAGAGGAACTGAGCAGGAAAAATACCATATTCTGCAGTCTATTTTACAACTTTTGACCTTGATTTTTAAAGAGCAGAGAAGAGCTGACAGAATATGCTGCTTCTTCTTTTCCAAAGGACTCATACTATTTAATGCTTCCTCTCTGGGATGGATTGACTGGAATTGCTATAAACTCAGAATGCCAACTAATTTCAAATTTGATATGGGATCGCTTTCTTACAGACTCTTTTCCCTTTCATACATAGGGCTGACAAGATGGTTATATGAGAAAACAAGACTTCTCTACCTTCCCGTATATGGAGGATTTCCAGTGAAACTGAGGACATATATTGGAGAACCCATCCCATATGATCCAAATATAACAGCTGCAGAGCTGGCTGAAAAAGTAAGTTAACTCTACCCCCCCCCCCCGTTGGTTTCTCTTTTTCAGTTCTTTAAAATGGTTTCTGCCTACTGACCAGAGATCGGGTTCATTATATAGACTTTTGTGCATTATGTTCATCAGTCAGCTTTCCCTCTCCGGAACTTGTTGAGACCACGAAAAACCTATGCATTTTATGTAGTGCTGCACAAAGATCTGCTCATGCAATAGGACTTCTTCTGCCCACCATATGCCCCAGAATCTGCCCCAGAGAGTTCCTCCAAGCCCCCTCCCCGGTGGGGGACCCAATAAGCACTGTATGCTCCTAATCCTCACTAAAACTATTACTGAAGAACTTCTGATGTTTGTTTGATTTATTGCAACTCTGCACGTGAATGTGACTCCATTCTACTCTACTATTTTACCCATGCCCTGCTGTGCTGTTTTCAGGCAAGGAACCAGGAGGTGACTGTTTTTTCTCACTAGTCCTATCAGCCATTGCCATTCTAAGAGAATGAGGGAGGTGTTCATAGTGAGTTCAGGCACCTCTTTTTCTGCAAAAATAGCACTGAGCATAGTGAAATATAACTCAATAGCATTTCTGTCATTTTCCTCACATAACTGGAGGTAACAACCATGCAGCAAAACTGATACGTTCCAAGCAGCCCAAGGCCAATGTTTGGTTGCATCTCTGCCATTGTCATACAGTGCTCTTGGTAAAAAAAAAAAAAATCTGTAACTGGAAAAAAATGGGATTCTTTATTCTAATGGTTCTGATCCCTTTAGCATTTCCTCACAGATATGAATAACTGTGAATATCCATTTTGCAATATATTGATATAATACAATATTCCTTTGTTCTTCTTTCAACAGACAAAGACTGCAATTGAAAATCTTCGGGATAAACACCAAAAAAGGCCAGGAAATATATTAAGAGCTATTTCAGAACGATTTGATAAGCATTACAAAGCTGACTAGTCCATATAAAGCAGTTGTAATGTTTATGATCATGCATCTGTAATAGAAAACTTTCATTATTATGTAATTAAAGCTAAGTTAAGATACACAGAATTGTGCTGGATTGTATATTAATTATTGTGAAGGGTCATTAGCTCATTAGCTCAGCCCCTGGTGTACATGCTGAAGGGCCTAAGTGCCTTCTTGTCCTATCCTGCAAAACTCCCAGAATTCCCCTTTTGGAGACTTACACTGGTAGCACCAGAATCAAAGAGTGTAACGGGAAGGTGAGTGTTTAATTGAACCTTGAAATAATGCTATATCTGAAAGAGTAATGCCTACAAATCTTCTATATCAAAACAGTGACACTTCTTTTATGTTTATAAAAGGCTGTTCCAAGATCTGAGCCCTGTAAAGCCTCTCCTCCATCCGGAGGGGAGGGATTGTGAGTGGGAGACAATTCCCGCGCCACGCAGAGGGCATTCGGCCCCCGCCCTCTCATCATCGCTGGCGCGCCACGCCTCCCAGTTGGGCACCCAATCAGGTGCCACCGTGGGGCATGGTTTAGCCACTCAAATGCGGCCGCGCCAGCTCTCCCCGCCATTGCGCTTCAGATTTTCCACGAGTCAAGTGTTCCTGCTCGTCGTCGTCTTGTTTGAGCCAAGCACGTGAAAGAGTTACGAAGTCGGAAGTTCCTGTTCCGATTCTGCAGTTGTGAGGTTTGGAGGAAGGGGTCCAGTGATTTTACCTGCATTTGTACTCTTATTTCGCCTTAGTAATTTTTGTGGGGCATCTGGAGGGTTCCTGGCTGTTGTTTTGCTTTAGTTAGAGTGAGGTCTCGGGTGGCTGCAGGTCGCTCCAGCACTGCCGACAGCACTGTTCTCCCAGCCTCCTCACCAATCCAGCGAGCCTCTTGGGCTCGGGTGGCGGTTAGGCATTGGAATGTGTTGTTGGTGTATGGAAGGGCAAGGTGTGGCCATCGCCTACCCCTTCGCTTATGGGTATTCCGTTAAAGGAATCCGGCGGTCGTGGATTCTGTCCGATGCCCTGTGTGGCGGGGGGTCATGGCACAACCCTCGGTGACATCAGGGGAGAGCTTATAGTTGTATTTGCATCAACAGGCTCCCCCTACTGGTGGTTAACCCCTCATCAGACTCACCCCTCTCTGAGTGGGTGGATTCAAATTTGCTGTGGTCCAATGCCTAAGCCAATACCTTCTCACATGCTGTAATCAATAAAGTTGTGGCCTTTTCTTGCCCATTAACCTAATATACTGTGTCCACGTGTCTTACTTACCCAAGCGGGGATCGGGTCCTCAAATCCCAACACAAATCTTTCTGCAGAAGCTCTTGTGTATGCTCATTGAGTCTCAGGACACGGACAGCATAATGATGATACTAAAACACTCACTTGCTGAACAAGAACATTGAATACATGGAGTAGGCTTTGCTATCAAAAACGATCTTGTGAAGCTCTTGTCAAAAGTCCCTACCGGCATTAATGAACGACTTTCCACTCTTTGAATAAAACTCACCAAAAACCAACAGGCTACTATTCTAAGTGCTTATGCACCAGCACGAGATGTTGATGAAGACATTAAAGATAAATTTTACTATCTGCTGGATATCATCCTATCAGAGACACCTAAGGAGGATAATGGGATGCGGGTGGCGCTGTGGGTTAAACCACAGAGCCTAGGACTTGCTGATCAGAAGGTCGGCGGTTCGAATCCCCGCGACGGGGTGATCTCCCGTTGCTTGGTCCCTGCTCGTGCCAACCTAGCAGTTCGAAAGCACGTCAAAGTGCAAGTATTGCTTTCGGCGGGAAGGTAAACGGCGTTTCCGTGCGCTGCTCTGGTTCGCCAGAAGCAGCTTAATCATGCTGGCCACATGACCCAGAAGCTGTACGCTGGCTCCCTCGGCCAGTAAAGCGAGATGAGCGCTGCAACCCCAGAGTCGGTCACGGCTGGACCTAATGGTCAGGGGTCCTCTTTACCCTTTAAGGAGGATAATATTATCCTCCTGGGTGATTTTAATGCAAGACTTGGGCAAGATTTCGATCTGTGGCCTGGGACTATTGGGAAAGAAGGAATTGGCAACAGCAACCAGAACAGAATCTTTCTTTTGACTATATGTGTAGTGCACAACCTTGTTATTACCAACACACACTTTCGACAAATATATATACATATATACATACACAGTCGTACCTTGGATTCCGAATGCCCTGGAACTCGGACATTTTGGCTCCAACAATGACGTAAACCCAAAAGTGATTGTTCCTGTTTGTGAACGTTCTTTTGGAACCCAAACGTTTGACGGGGATTCCATGGCTTTTGATTGGCAGCAGTAGCTTCTTGCAGCCAATCAGAAGCCACAATTTGGTTTTCAAACATTTTGGGAAGTTGAACGGACATCCGGAACAGATTCCATTCAACTTCCAAGATATGACTGTAAATTTAAATCATGGAGGCACCCTCAGTCGAACCACTGGCACCTCTTAGACAATGCAATTGTCCAAGCTGAAGATTGCCATGATGTACTCCTTACCAGAGCTATGAGGAGTGCCGACGACTGCTGGACAGATCACTGATTAATACGGTCCGCAATGGCTATCAAGATTATACCTCAACGCAGGCTTCAAGGAAGGAAACCAAGGCGCAAAATAAACACTGAAGCCCTTCAAGATCCCATTAAGTGGGATTGCTTCCAAAGTACTCTTTTTTAAAAAAATCATTTAATCATTTTTTCTTTTTCTTTTTTTAAAATAATTTTTATTGAATGATTTTATGTTTCAAAAAACAATACAGCCATACTACCACAAAATATAATTAAGAAATAAAAATTGCATACATCAATATTTAGTTTGTTATTTGTTATTTACCGTCTTATTTCCTCCCAAACATTGCATACAACACATATGTGCAGACACCCACACCCGCACAGAAAATGATAATAATGAAAGTAAATATTTTTTCCCCTTTTATCTTCCAAAATCTTTTCTTCAACTTTGACTTCCTGTCAAGTCCCTTTGCATATGTTTTATCTTACATTTAAATGTACACAAAACAACAAACCTTTCTATATAATTTTTCTAATACATTCTGAAAACATAACAAATCCTTAATTGTAGTCCACTTCCTTTTATTTCCTTTATCACTTGAATGCTAGCATGGAGTCAATACTATTATTGTATTTTTGAACATATTTTTTATAAACATCCCATTTTTTCTCTAATTTTTGCTTTGAGTTTCCTCTGAGTTTACCCGTTTGAGTTTCCTCTGAGTTGAGCCGTCTCCACCAATTCCTGTAATTTGATTTGCCAATCTGTTATTTTTGGAGCCTCGTGATCTTTCCATCCCTTGGCTACAAGTATACGAGCCGCTGCGGTTGCATACAAAAATACCTCTCTTAGGTTTTTTGGGATCTCTTTATCTAAAATACTTAATAGAAATGCCTCTGGTTTTGGGGTAAAAGTTATCCCCATCATCTTTTTAAATTCATCATATATTTCCCCCCAAAAAATCTTAATCTTTCCACACGTCCACCACATGTGGATCATGTCACCGTTATTTCCTCCACATCTCCAACAAGCATTTGCCAAATTATTATACATTCTTGATAATCTGGAAGGAGTGAGGTACCACCTATGAGCCATTTTCATCATATTCTCTCTTATATTATAGCTGGCTGTAAATTTCAAATTTACCTTCCATAAGTTTTCCCAATCTTTTAGCATAATTGGACGGCCCACATCTTGGGCCCACTTTATCATTGAAGCCTTAACCTCCTCATCCATTACTTTGTAGTCTAAAAGAAGTCTATACATTTTTGCAATTATTTTAGTTTTACTATTCAGTAATTCTCTTTCAAATCTTGAAGGCTCCTTTTCAAAACCTATCTGCTTATCCTGTCTGAACATTTCTTTCACCTGGAAGTAATCTAGCCAACTAGAAAAGTGATCTTTTATTTTCTCATAACTTATCAATATTAGTTGACCCTCCTCCTCCCTTAATATTGTGTTATACGTTATCCAGTTCTCTTTGATGTTGTTGGTTTTTTTTTAACAGCGATTGCTTCTAATGGAGAGTTCTATCTTTGGGTTTTCAGTTCCAAATATCTTTTGTATTTTCCCCACACCTTATATATAGCATTTCTTATTATATGATTTGAAAAACTCCGATGAGCCTTTATTTCCCCATAATTAAGATAGCCATGCCATCCAAAACGTGTGCCATGACCTTCTAGATCTAAAGTATCCCAATTTTTTTAATAAACACCAATCTTTCAACCAGAGAAGACACGAGGCTTCGTAATATAGCTTCAAATCTGGTAACCCGAAGCCACCTCTTTCTACAGTATCTATTAATATCTTATGCTTTATTCTTGGTCTTTTACCCTTCCACAAAAGTTTAGAGATTTCTTTTTGCCACTTGTCAATACTGCTGGTCTTTCCTATAATTGGAATCGTTTGGAATAAAAAGAGTAGCTTCGGTAAGACTATCATTTTAATTACCGAAATACGGCCCAGGAATGATAAGTTTAGGCTTGTCCATGTCTCCAACTGTCTTTTGATATTTTTCCAACAATTAATATAATTATCTTCATACAAGTTAATATTCTTTGGTGTTATCCATAATCCTAAATACTTGATTTTGGGGTAGATTTTAATTTGTATTATTTTTTCTAATTCTGCTTTTTCATCCGGCGACAAATTTTTAACTAATAGTTTTGTCTTGTTTAAATTCAGTTTAAACCCCGCAACTTTACCGTAGGCATATATTATTTCCAACGCCTTTGTTAAAATCTGTTTTGGTTGCTCCGTAGTTATAATTAGATCGTCAGCAAATGCCCTCATTTTGTAACTTCTATTTCCCAGCATAATCCCTTTTATTTCTTTTTCCTCCCTAATTCGTTTACATAAAACTTCCAATGTTAGTATGAAAATTAAGGGGGATAGTGGGCAACCTTGTCTGTCCCCTTTACTGATTTCACACTCCTGTGATAAATTGCCATTTATTA